TCTTAAAATTAATAAAAATGTGCCATTAATTTCTTTAATTAAAGATGATTGAAAAATCCTATATAGATTATTTCAATCGTTTCATTGCTATGATGCAACTCCCTTTTGTCGTCCTTTTTTTCTTCACACACGTACTTGTAAGATTCGCATTGTTGGTCAATCGATAGTACTTGTGTTTTTATGCGTAGGTTCTAAAAATTACGGTAGAAGTGCAATCAATCTTAAAATTATACAATCGTGCAATCAATTTTTTTATCAAGTTTTTTAATTAAAGGCGACTGGAAAATCCTGCATAGATTATTTCGATCGTTTCGTTGTTGTGATGCAACTCCCTTTTGTCCTTCTTCTTTTTCTTCACACATGTCCTTGTAATAAGATGCTATCATTAATGTAGAAGATTCACAGTGTTTGAACGGTAGTGCTTGTGTTTTTATCCGTAAGTGCACGTAAGGTTCTAAAATTTACGGTAGAAGTGCAATCAATCTTAAAATTAATAAAATTGTGCAATCAGTTTTTTTATCAGGTTCGTTAATTAAAGGCGACTGAAAAATTCTACATAAATTATTTCAATCGTTTCGTGTGATGTGACTCCCTTTTGTCCTTCCTTTTTTTTTTCTTCACACACGTCCTTGTAATAAGATGCTATCATTAATGTAGAAGATTCGCAATGTTGGTTGACTGGTAGTGCTTGTGTTTTTATGCGTAAGTGCAGAAAGGTTCTAAAATTTACGGTAGAAGTGCAATCAATCTTAAAATTAATAAAATTGTGCAATCAATTTTTTTATCAGGTTCGTTAATTAAAGGCGACTAAAAAATCTTACATAGATTATTTCAATCGTTTCGTTGCTGTGATGCGCTGCCCTTTTGTCCTTTTTTTTTTCTTCACACACATCCTTGTAATAAGATGCTATCATTAACGTAGAAGATTCGCAATGTTGGTCGACCGGTAGTGCTTGTGTTTTTACGCGTAAGTGCACGAAAGGTTTTAAAATTTATGGTAGAAGTGCAATCAATCTTAAAATTAATAAAATTATGCAATCAATTTTTTTTATCAGGTTCGTTAATTAAAGGCGACTGAAAAATCCTACATAAATTATTTCAATCGTTTCGTTGCTGTAATGCAACCCCCTTTTGTCCATTCTTTTTTGCTTTGCACACGTCCTTGTAATAATATGCTATCATAAATGTAGAAGATTCGCAGTGTCGGTTGACCGGTAGTGCTTGTGTTTTTATGCATAAATGCACGAAAGGTTCTAAAATTTACGGTAGAAGTGCAATCAAACTTAAAATTAATAAAATTGTGCAATCAATTTCTTTTATCGGGTTCGTTAATTTAAGGCGATTGAAAAATCCTACATAGATTATTTCAATCGTTTCGTTGATGTGATGCAACTCCCTTTTGTCCTTGTGTTTTTTCTTCACACACATCCTTGTGATAAAAGGCTATCATTGATGTAGAAGATTCGCAGTGTTGGTCAACCGGTAGTGCTTGTGTTTTTAGGGAAAATTCCAATTAAGGACCCCAAATGGGGTTAAATTCTCAAAAAAGGGCCCAAAGTGAACATTGTGTCAAATAAGGGCCTAGGTCCTCGGCCGGCCAAAATACCCGCCGGCCGGCGAGAAAGTTATTGTTCCGGTGCCGGAACAGTAACTTTTTAATTTTTTTTATTATTTTCTTTCTGTTTTTCCTTTTCTGTTTTTTTTCTTTTCCTTTTCCTTTTCTTTTTTTTTTTCTTTTCTTCCTCTCCCGGCCATAGCCGGGGCCGGCGGAGGTCGCCGGCGTCGGTCGAGGGCCGCCCTCGCCTGGGCTGGGCGAGGTCGCCCTCGCCGGCGTCGGGCAAGGGCCGCCCTAGCCCGGGCCGGGCGAGGCCGGCCTCGCCGACGCCCGGCGAGGTTGAGCCCTCGCCAGATTTGCCCGACCTCGCCTGCAACTGGCGAGGCCGGCCTCGCCCGACGCCAGCGAGGTCGAGCCCTCGCCAGATCTGGCGAGGCTCGACCTCGCCGGCAACTGGCAAGGCCGGCCTCGCCCAGCCCAGGCGAGGGTGGCCTCGCCTGAGGTCGGCGACCTCCGCCGGCCCCGGCTATGGCCAGCGGAGGAAGAAAAGAAAAAAAAAAAGAAAAGGATAAGGAAAAGAAAAAAAACAGAAAAGGAAAAACAGAAAATAAAAAAAATTAAAAAGTTACTACTCCGGTGTCGGAACAGTAACTTTCTCGCCGGCCGGCGGCTATTTTGGCCGGCCGGGGACCCAGGTCCTTATTTGAGATTTTTTGGGCACTTCGGGTCCTTATTTGAGGCTGATTGAGCACTTCTTGCCCTTATTTGACACAATGTTCACTTTGGGCCCTTTTTTGAGAATTTGACCCCACTTGGAGTCCTTAATTGGAATTTTCCCGTGTTTTTATGCATAAGTGCACGAAAGCTCTAAAATTTATGGTAGAAGTGCAATCAATCATAAAATTAATAAAATTGTGCAATCAATTTTTTTGTCAGGTTCGTCAATTAAAAGGCGACTGAAAGATCTTACATAAATTATTTCAAGCGTTTTGCCCTACTACAAATCCGTCAAACGTTACATGGGTTTTCTCACTGTCATTTATCATTTATTATTTTGCTTTCTTTTTCCTTTTCTCTCTTTCATACCACCGATTGCTGCCGCTGGCCACAATAGACAGGCCTGCATCCACTATGGTCGATCCAGCTGCCGCCACCTGCGTCGGCCCTCTCACCGAGTCTCCTCGTATTCATCAAAGGACACTCTAAATATATCATCTTAAAAATGGAAAAAAGAAGAATGGAACTTCTACGAAATCCTTTTCCTTTAATCAGATCAAAACAATAGGAAACATTCGAAGGCAGAAAGCTCAAAACTATTGATTATTTGTTGAAGCCATTGGTGATGGAAAGATATCAGCTGGAAAATTACCAAAAAAGTCCTAAATCTTTTGCAGTTGTGCCAATTCAGTCCTAAACCTTTTTTTTTGGCCAATTCAGTCCTAAACCTTTTGCAATTCGGCCAATTCAGTCCTTTTGGCCGGCCGGAGCTGACATAGACGCCAGCCGGCGCCGGCCGGTGACGTGGCAATATTTTAATATTTTTTCGAATTTTTTTCCTTTCTCTTTTTTTTTTTCTTTTCCTTCTTTCCTTTGGCCAGTCCGGCCAGGGGAAGCTCGCCGGCGAGGTCCACTGGGGAGGCTCGCCGTCACCGGGCAAGGCGAGGCGACCTTGCCCAGCCTCGCCACGGCTGTGCGAAGGCGAGGGCGAGCCTCGCCGTCGCACAGCCACGGCGAGGCTCAACCTCGCCAGATCTGGGCGAGGTTGAGCTCGCCCGGCCGTGGCGAGCGGTCGGCAAGGGCGACCTCGCCTGGCCATGGCGAGCGGCCGGGAAGGGCGACCTTGCCCAGATCTGGCAAGGTCGAGCCTCGCCAGCCGCTCACTAGATCTGGGCGAGGTCGCCCTCGCCGGCCGCTCGCCATGGCCGGGCGAGCTCGACCTCGCCCAGATCTGGCGAGGTCGAGCCTCGCCATGGCTGTGCGACGGTGAGGCTTGCCCTCGTTGGGACCGGCGAGGACCGGCGAGGGTGGAGCTCGCCATGGCTGGGCGAGCTCTGCCCTCGCCACCGCTGGGCGAGCTGGGCGACGCCGAGCTTCGCCCTCGCCGGCGCACAGCCGTGGTGAGGCTGGGCGAGGTCGCCTCGCCTTGCCCGGCGATGGTGAGCCTCCCTAGTGGACCTCGCCGGCAAGCTTCCCCCTGGCCAATCCGGCCAGGGGGAAGAAGGAAAAAAAAAAAAAAAAGAGAAAGGAAAAAAAATCGAAAAAAATAATAAAATATTACCACGTCACCTGCCCGCGCCGGCCGGCATCCATGTCGGCGCCAGCCGGCGTCCACGTCAACTCCGACCGGCCAAAAGGACTGAATTGGCCAAATTGCAAAAGGTTTAGGACTGAATTGTAAAAAAAAAAAGTTTAGGACTGAATTGACACAACTGCAAAAGGTTTAAGACTTTTTTGGTAATTTTCCCGATATCAGCAGATAGGGAGAACTCGACTGATGGATGGGAGCACTCGTCGTGATGCTCCGATCGTCCTCAACCTCTTCTCCTCCAAAACCCTTTTGAAGATATTTTAATCTGCAAGTTTTGATTTTTCCTATAAGAACATTTTTTTCTTAATTTTTCCAAGTGCCTTGCCCGTCCCCTTAATTGTTTTTTTCAATTTTGGCCTTCTGTGTTTTTTTTTTTTTTGTTGTAGTTTTAAGCTTCTTTTTTGACACGACACTAAGTGGGCACTACATCAGAAATAAGTGTCGTAGAAATATATGTAAAAGTGTCATGTTAGTATTTCCATTATTTAAATTAAACAGAGTTGATAGAAGTACTCCATTGCACTAATTACACAAAATTTAGGACTCTATTACACTTTCTCGATCAGTTTTAAGATTTTTGGTGCACTTATTTCTATTTTTATGTCTCAAAATGAAGTTAATGCTAGAATAATCCGAAGACTTCACCGATACATTAACCCGTGTGAATTTGAAATTGACATTGTTTTGAGCCCCATCTTGATTTGCGTTTCTTCACTGACTTATAACTCCAAACATACTATCGTATTAACAAGTAAATGCATAAGATTTAGTCTTCTAGAGTGATTTTTACTTTTTAACCTTTCAATATCTAACATTTAAGATTTAACTTTTCTTCACCACTGAGTAGTCCCGGTTTTGAAAACATCTACGCAAGGGCTCTGCACAAAACCGAATGCCTATCGCTCGAAGTCACAAAATGTAAAAAAGAAAAATTTATCACCCACTTCGACGACGCGTCTCTGCTTGATATGATTAATGGTAAGATCATACTTGTACACATTCATTTTATTTAGAAGCTTTATAAACTTTATCTCCCTACTTTTTTCCTTTGTTTCATTGTATAACAAGAGAAGGAATCTAGCTACCCCAGGAGAAAGGGAATCTAGCGGCCCCACGCTTGAGCTTTATCTAATAAATGTCTCCATCATTGCCATAAACCCAACAACTCTCTCTCTCTCTCTCTCTCTCTCTCTCTCTCTCTGAATGGCAGAGGAAACCCAACCAAGATGGGAAGTCAAGCTCATTACTGAGCTGGAAGGACCAACACCAGACCAAGTGTGGCCATTCTTGGAGGACTTTTGCTACCTCCACAAGTTACTTCCCACCCTTGACATGTGCCAACAAGTCGAGGGCGTCCCGGGCCAGCCTGGGCTTGTCCGGTACGTTGCCTCCACCACGTTCGGCGACGGTTCAGACTCATCGAAGGTCAAGTGGGCCAATGAGCGGCTCGTCATGATGGACCCTAGTGACAAGTGCTTCAGCTATGAGATCTTCGACAATAATATTGGGTTAAAGTACTTTACTGCCACAATTAGAATGATACCCATGAATGATGAGGATGGTAAGATGGTTGGGTGCATGATTGAGTGGTCTTTTGTAGCTGATCCTGTTGAGGGTTGGGGTTTCCAAGATATGAGGTCTTTCTATGATTTTTGCCTCCAATCTAGGGAAAATTTCAATTAAGGACCCCAAGTGGGGTCGAGTCAAAAGGGTCAAAGTGAATATTGTGTCGAATAAGAAGCGTGAAGTCTTATCGATCTCAAATAAGAAGCCTGAAGTGCCAAAATGTCTCAAATAAGGACTGGGTCCCGACCTAAAATACTGCTGGCCGTGAGAAAGTTCTTGTTCAGTCAGGACATTAACTTTAATTTTTATTATTTTCTTTCTTTTTTCCTTTTCTGTTTTTGTTCTTTTCCTTTTCCTTTTTTTTTTATTTTTTATTTTCTTCCTCCGCTAGCCATAGCCGGGGCCGGTGGAGGTCGCCGGCGTCGGGCGAGGCCGGCCTCGCCGGCCGCTGGCGAGGCTCGACCTCGGGCGAGGCCGGCCTCGCCGGCGTCCGGCGAGGCCGGCCTCGCCCGTTGCGGGTGAGGTCGAGCCTCGACGGCGTCGGCGCGGCCGGCCTCGCCGTTGCATGGCGAGGTCGAGCTCGCCGTTGTCGGGCGAGGGAGCCTCGCTGGGTTGCGGGCGAGGCTCGACCTCGCCCGGACGCCGGCGAGGCTTGACCTCGCCTCGCACCGGGCGAGGCCGGCGAGGTCGAGCCTCGCGGCCGCCGGCGAGGCTCGACCTCGCCCGCAATCGGCGAGGCCGGCCTTGCTCGACACCGGCGAGGCTCGACTCGCCTCGCAACCGGGCGAGGCCGGCCTCGCCGACGCGGCGAGGTCGAGCCTCGCCGGCCAGGAGGCCGAGCCTCGCCAGATCCGGCGAGGCTCGACCTCGCCCGCAATCAGTGAGGCGGCCTCGCCCAGCCCAGGCGAGGGCGGCCTTGCCTGAGGCCGGCGACCTCCGCCGGCCCCGGATATGGCCGGCGGAGGAAGAAAAAAAAAAAAAGAAAAGGAAAAGGAAAAGAACAAAAAAAAAAGGAAAAAGAAAGAAAATAATAAAAAGTTAAAAGTTATGTTCGGTCGAACAATAACTTTCTACGCCGGCAGTATTTTGGTTGGGACGTGTCCTTATTCGAGACATTTTGGCACTTCGGGTCCTTATTTGAGACTGATTGAGCACTTCAGGCCCCTTATTTGACACAATGTTCACTTTGGACCCCTTTTTGAGAATTTGACCCCACTTGGGGTCCTTAATTGGAATTTTCCCTCCAATCTATGGCCAAGAAGATAGAAAGTGCAATTCAAGAAACAAGTGGGTGAAGTGAGAAAGATGTGATACCTCTAGTTGATTGACTATGTATGCTTTAAATAAATTCAGTAAGATGGTGTTTAATATCTTATGGTTATGTTTTGCATTTCTTGGAGATTTAATCTCAACATGAATTTCCTGTTTTTTTTTTTTTGCTTCATCTTTTTTTTCCTTTTCTTTTAATATGAGTATTAATGGTTAGATTTTTTTAATTAATTATGTAGGCTTATCTCTTGTGGAATTTCTATATGTTGAATTTTTTCTTTTTTGCTTTTTATAATCTAATGATTATATAGATGTAGCTAGTCCGCCCTTTTCTAAAAATCTTATGCCAACCTGATGAAGCGATCTTGATCCCACGTGCTCACTATGAGAATTGATTTTCACTCTCCTTATTAGCTAAGCTGGCTTTTTGCTCCTTCAGAAGCCAATTTATTAATATATGTAAATCAAATTAGTTGTTCACCATAACATGTTGCTCCAATTTCCATAATAACTTTGTTCGAGGTGTGTAATGGAAGTTAATAGATTTTAAAATTCAAACCTAATGCCACAAAAGAAAAATATCAAAGAAATCAACAAGGAATAAAAAGGATATCGGTAATTTATGTGATTCGGTACTGAGTGTCATATGTATTCCATGGAAAGAGTCACCTGCAAAGAAATTCATTATGAATTTGGAGATTTATAGCATTACAATTAATCCATCACTCTCAAGTGTTTCTCAATCCAATTCGTAGAACACTCAAAGCATACCTACAATTGTTACCTCACAATCTCTTATAAAGAACTTTCTCAAAAAACTCATAGAGAGAAAACCTTAACACTCGTATTGTTTGCTTAGTTGTGTACGAACCCATAAAAATTTCGTTTTTATGGGTTCTTTTGCCATTTGACGACTCAAATTAGGAAATTTGGCTTTTCTTCTTTTTATATTTAATCTAAGATCAGACCTTACCAAATTTTGGACTTCACTAGATTTGCTTATAGTCTGTACCAATTAGAAGACATTCAAAATACAGGCGATATTTCTAGTGGGGGGGGGGGGTTTATTTACAGCTCAAATTCGAGACATAAATTAGCACTAAATGAGGTGCTTAATTTCACCTGTGAAAAAGAAAAAGATTATAGATTTTAATATGGCTAATTGTTAGATCCACCACTAATATAACAGAACTTTTATACACTCACAATCGGATTTTGACATGTGTACTTGAAGGTAAAAATTGTAACCAAATTCTTCCACATGGCAATCATCCAATGGTAAATCTGTAAATCAATTCTTACACCAACAATGGACCTAGGCAAAAGATAATTGGTAATTTTATTGGGAAAAGGTTGGCTAGTCATTCAAATAGATATTGGTTAATTCATACGAGAGTTGGTAAATTTAAAAGGTCGGTAAAAAAGACAAATGAAGCATACCGTGAATAAGAGTCGGTAACTTCATAAAAGTATCACCAAGTTACTAATAAGTTACCGGGAAATTACGTTATTGGTAACTTTTTTTTATCAATTTTTTGATGCTTACGAACTCTAAAATTTCACTAGCACAAGAAAAAAAACTTGCCTTTGAAAACGGAACAGTTCAATCATCTTGTTTGTTTTTCTCTGTATTTTTTTTATTTTTAATTATGATTTGGAAATATGCATTTAACTTTATGGGATGGTTTCTCGGGTTAGGCAGTAGGGGTGAGCGGTTCCCGGTCCGATCCGGTTCCAAGGTGGAACCGCGAACCGGACCGAGAGAACCGGTTCCCAATTTTGGGAACCGCGGATCGGACCGGTTGGTTCTAGGACCGGGAATCGGACCGGACCGTCGGTGCGGTCCAGTTCCAATCCGGTCCAATGGAACCGGTTACTTAGAGTTTAGGGTTTTTTTTTGTCAAACACTTAAGGTTTGGTTCACATTTTACTAATTTTTGTCAATAAATTTATGCCAATGAAGTTCACTTAGGGTTTAATTCACATTTTACTATTTTTTATCAATGAATTTATGATAATGAAGTTCACTTAGAGTTTAGTTCACATTTTATTAATTTTTTTAAAGAAAAAAATAACAAAAATATATATTAAATAGTCGGTCCGGTCCGGTCCGGTTCCCCCTTGGAACCGGGAACCGGACCGCCCGGAAACCGGTTCCGCTTTTAGGAACCGGGAACCGGACCGATAGTCCCGAGAACCGGACCAAACTCGTCAGTCCGGTCCGGTCCGGTCTGGTCCCGGTTTGGGCGGTCCAAGTTGCTCACCCCTATTAGGCAGTGTCTCGGATCTACTCTTCCAGGATCTTTGATCATCAAGGGTTCGAGCCCTGGGCTCTCGAGGCTTACGGTTAGGGGTCAAGGAGGCATTGAGGTGCTGAGTTTGCGTGCCGAAGTCCCGATTGTTGGTGCTAGGCCGGTGTCTAACACCAGGAAGTTTAATATCCGGGAAAAGTATTTTATTGAAAAATTTGAGGGAGAGAACTGAAACCCCCTACTTCTTATGTCTACTTAAATACTTTTTTACATTCTTATTATCTTAAAAATTTAAAGTTAACAATCATATCAGAGCACCTAGGAGGTGTCTTTTTTTAATAAATAATTTCTAAGTTGCTATCAAACATTAAAATAGTTGTCCTGGAGAGGGAGAAGTGTCAAAAAAGTCCTAAATCTTTTGCGTCAGTGCCAATTTAGTCCTAAACCTTTTTTTTATGCCAATTTAGTCCTAAACTTTTTGCATTTGTGCCAATTGAGTCCTAAACCTTTTTTTTATGCCAATTCAGTCTTAAACCTTTTGTATTGGTGCCAATTCAGTCATAAACCTTTTGCATTGATGCCAATTGAGTTCTAAACCTTTTTTTGATGCCAATTGAGTCCTAAACCTTTTGCATTGGTGCCAATTTAGTTCTAAACCTTTTGTATTTGTGCCAATTCAATCCTTTCGATTAATTTAGCTCAAAAAGATTTAGGACTGAATTAGCACCAATGCAAAAGGTTTAGGACTGAATTGGCACCAATGCAAAAGGTTTATGATTCAATTGGCACCAAAAAAAGGTTTAGGACTCAATTGGCACTAATGCAAAAGGTTTAGGACTGAATTGACACAAATGCAAAAGATTTATGACTGAATTGGCACAAAAAAAGGTTTAGAACTAAATTGGCACAAATGTAAAAAGTTTCGGACTAAATTGGCACTAAAAAAAGGTTTAGGATTTTTTTGACACTTTTCACGGAGATTAATGGCAGCTGTGATTTCCTAACTCCTTTTTAAGTGTCACCTGGAGATTCTTGTACATCCCCAAAAGTGCACATATATAAGCTCTCTATTTACCCTCTTTTAGTTGTCGAATCTATTTACCCTCTTTTCATGTAAGTTCTGGCGCAAAAACAAGGAGTATTAGAGCATGAAATCAGATGGAGTCCCGATTAGGTCACTCTTCATGAACTGATTCAACCTCCACAAATGGTTCTTGGGCCTATTTGATTGCCACGGGATCCACCGTGAGAACGGCGAGCCCGAACGTAAAGTTCGTGATTCTTTACTAATTTTACATAATTCGAGAAATCCTTACCAAAAAAAAAAAACATATTAAAAAATTAAAGGAAGAAGTATAATTTTGGTTTCTAAATTTCGTCGTGCCCCACACTCTACTTTATTATTAAAAATGGAAAACTATAAGCTCGCATTAACAAATAAATTACACGAGATTTAGTCTGGTGATTTTTACTTTTTAACCTTTTAATATTCAACATTTAAGGTTTGACTTTTCTTCACCACCGAGTATTCTCGCAGAATGTAAAAAAGAAAAAAAGTTATCTCAGTCTTCAGCAATGTGTCTCTGCTTGATTTGATTACTGGTAATGATCTTACAATCATACGCATTCATTTTATTTAGAATCTTTATAAACTTTGTCTCATTCCTTTTTATCCTTTGTTGGATTGTATACCAAGAGAAAGGGAATCTAGCAACCACTAGAGAAGTTTGGGCTTTATCTAATAAATATCTCCATCTTTGCCATCAACCCAGCAACTCTCTTTTTAAACATAATTAGATATTTCATTTGATAATTCTATTGATTGCACGTGTATCTCTCAAGATTGCACGTATATCTCCGCAATATCTTGATTGTGCATATCTTGATTAATAGATGTTACTAGCCTATAAATAGGACATATGGAATTACACAGAAAGTTCTCCAAATCTATTTTCGCAATATTCTTAATTTCTCTCTCGCTCTCGCTCTCTCTATGGCAGAAGAAACCCAACCAAGATGGGAAAGCAAGCTCATTGCAGAGCTGAAAGGGCCAACACCAGGCCAAGTGTGGCCATTCTTGGAGGACTTTTGCTACCTCCACAAGTTACTTCCCACCCTTGACATGTGCCAACAAGTCGAGGGCGTCCCGGGCCAGCCTGGGCTTGTCCGGTATGTTGCCTCCACCACGTTCGGCGACGGTTCAGACCCGTCGAAGATCAAGTGGGCCAATGAGCGGCTCATTGTGATGGACCCTAATGACAAGTGCTTCAGCTATGAGGTTTTGGACAACAATATTGGGTTAAAGTCCTATGTTGCCACAATTAGAGTGATGCCCATGAACGATCAGGATGATAAGATGGTTGGGTGCATGATTGAGTGGTCTTTTGTGGCTGATCCTGTTGAGGGTTGGGGGGGCCAAGATATGATGTCTTTCTTTGATTTTTGCCTCCAGTCTATGGCCAAGAAGATAGAAAGTGCAATTCAAGAAACTAGTGGGTGAAGTGAGAAAGATGCGATTGCTCTAGTTGATTGATTATGCATGCTTCAAATAATTCAGTAAGCTTGTGTTTGATATCTTGAGGTTATGTTTTGCATTTCTTGGAGATCTGACTCAGCATGAATTTCCTTTTTCTTTGCTTTATCTTTTTTTCTCACTTTAATATGAGTATTAAAGTTTAGATGTTTTCAATTAATTATGTAGGATTTTTTATAATCTATCCCCCCCCTTCTAAATATCTTATACCAACCCGATGAAGCGATTTTGTTCCTAAGTGCTCCTATGAGAATTGACTTTCACTGTCCTTATCAGCTAAGCTGGCTTTTTGCTCTTTCAGAAGCCAATTTATTTATATATATAAATCAAATTAGTTGTTCACCATCTCTTGTTCCTCCAATTTCCATAGTCACTTTGTTCGATTTGTGTAATGAAAGTTAATAGATATTGCCCTTCAAATCTAATGCGACAAAAAGAAAATATCAAAGAAGTCAAATAGAAACAAAATGCGGTTCGGTCTGCTTGTTAGTATGTACTCCCTGGAGAGAGTCACCCGCAAAGAAATTCATTATGAATCTTGAGATTTATAGCGTTACAATCGCTCTCAAGTGTTTCTCAGTCCAATTCATATAATACTAAAATCATATAATTGTTATCTCACAATCTCTTATAAAGAACTCTCTTAAAAAACTTATAGAGAGGAAACCTTAATACTCCTATTGTTTGCTCTGATTTGTACGAACCGAGAAAAATTTTGTTTTATGTGTTGTTCTGCGACTTGACGACTCGAACTAGGAAATTTGGATTTTCTTCTTTTAATATTTAATCTAAGATCAGAGTTTTCTTGGGGATAATGTCCCAATAAGAAGACATCCAAAAGACAGGCCATACTTCTACCAGGGGGTTTTCATATGCAGGCTCAAATTCGGAACATAAATTAGCACTAAACAAGATACTTAACTTTACTTAGGAAAAGAAAAGAACATTATAGATTTTAATATGGCTAATTGTTAAATCTGCCGCTAGTATAGCAGAACTTTTACACACTCACAATCGGATTATTGACATGTATACGTGAAGGTAAAAATGTGACCAAATTCTTTCACATGGCAATCATGCAATGTTAAATCCGTATTTTAATTCTTACACCAACAATGTACCTAACCAATTTTTGTTGGGTCGATGGCCTTACCAAAAACTAATTTAATTTTATTGGAAAAAAGCTGGCTAGTCACTCAAATAGACATTGGTAAATTTATACAATAGTTGGTAAATTTGAAGTATCGGTAAAAAAGACAGATGAAAGTTAATAAAAATTCAGAAAAATTGGTAATTTGCATACTATAAAAAAGAGTCACTAACTTCATAAAAGTATCACCAAGTTACTAATAAGTTATTGAAAAAATGAGGTTATTGTTGACGTTTTTTACCAATAGTTTTCGACACTTACCAACTCCAAAATTTCACTTGCATGAGAAGAAAAAAACCTGCCTTTTGAAAGCAGAACAGTATAATCATCTTGTTTCGTTTTTCCTTGTATTTTTTTCAAATTATGATTTGGAAATATACATTTAACTTAAAGTGATGGGTTATCGGGTTAGGCAGGTTTTCAAGTCTAACCTTAGGATCTTTGGTCATCCTAGGTTTGAGCCGCGGGCTCTCCAGGCTTAGGGTCAGGGGTCAAGGAGGCAACAAGTTGCTGAGTTTGTGTGCCGAAGTCCCCATTATTGGTGCTAGGCCGGCGTCTATTTGTCAAAAGAGCTAATGATATCAATGGTCCTTCAACTTTGACCCAACAAAAAATGCGGCCCCTGAACTTTACCATAATTTGCAATATGATCTCTGAAGTTTTAATTTGTTTTATGTGATCCTTGGAGTTTTGGTATATGTTCAATTTAGTCCATGAATTATATGAAATTATTAAATATTATCCTTGGAAGGACAATATTGAATATTTTCATATAGTGCCGGGACTAAATTGAACATGTATAAAAAGTTTAGGGACCAATAGAACAATTCAAAAGTTTATGGATGATATTACATATTGGGCTAAAGTTCCAAGATCACATTAAACAAATTAAAAGTTTAGGAATGACATTGTACATTGGGCCAAAGTTTAAGAGAAAAAAGTCTAATACCACAAAGTTAAATTTCCGGAAAAAAAAACTTTATTGAAAAATTTGAGCTAGACAATTAAAACCCCCTACTTCTTATGTCTAGTTAAATACTTTTTACATTCTTATTATCTTCGACCAAGAAAAAAAAACATTCTTATTATCTGAAAAATTTAAAGTTAACAATCATACCAAAGCACCCGGCATGTTTCTTTTTGAATAAATAATTCCTACATTGCTGTCCAACATTAAAATAATTTTCCCAATGAGATTAATGACAGCTGTAATTTCCTAACTCATAGTTAAGTGCCACGTGGACATTCTTGTACCTCCCTAAAAGTCTACAAATATAAGCTCTCTATTTACTCTCTTTTCATGTATGTTCTGGCGCAAAAGGAGTACTAAAGCATGAATCAGAGGAGTCCCAGTTGGTCACAGGTGGGAAGGCAAGGTCTCCACGTGAGTCACAAAGGCCAGTGCAGACCAAATCTGGCCACTCTTCATGGACTTCTTCAACATCCACAAATGGTTCCTGGACCTATCTGATTGCTACAGGATCCATGGCGAGAACGGCGAGCCCGGTTGCATGCGATACTTCGCCAGCTTCTCCCTCTCATCCGAAGGCACTGATGATATCAGCGAAAATTACCTCCTCAACTGATCCAAGGAGCGATTAGCTAGTCTAGATCCGATCGGACAAAACTTAAGTTACGAGATCTAATATCAGATTCAATTCATACCAGTCGATGATCAGGCCGTCCCTAGCAATGGAGTGTCGATGATCAGGCCGTCCCTAGCAATGGAGAAAGTGAAGGTGGATGCATGATCAAGTGGTCGTTCACGGTCAATCTTGTGGAAGGTTGGGTGTTGGAGGATTTGGCGAGGGAAGTATATGAGATGGGATTACAAGGCATGTCTAAGAAAATGGAGGATTCATTTGGGAATTAAATTCGCTGACAACTATAGTGTTTGGTTTTGCATATCCTGGTTTTGGGCTTCCATTACTATGATGTTACACCTTTTAGTCCTCTTTTTTCTTTTTTTTCCTTCACACACGTCCTTGTAATTAAAGGCCAGTATTAACGTAAAAGATGCGTGATCATCGTCAACAGTGCTTGTGCTTTTATGAATAAGAATAGGAAAGGTTCCAAAATTTGCAGTAGAAGCACAATCCATCTTGGAATTAGTAAGATCATGCAATCAAATTTTTTCAATGGGTCATTAATTTTTAGCGACTGAATAATCCCACATGGATTATTTCAATCGTTTCTCTCTACTACTATCGTCGGTTTATTTTGTTCTATTCTTAGTATTCATCATTTGCTTTTCTTTTTCTTTTTACCTCTTCCTTGAACAGGGTCTCCATCACCACCCGTCGACGCCGCTAGCCACAATAGGCAGGCCTACATCCAAGATGGCTGATGCAGCCACCACCACCTGCGTTGGTGGTTTGCATTACCGACGAAAAACTATAAGTATAATGTTAGTTTCTAAAGTTTGTCGTTCTCCACACTAGACTCTATTATTAAAGACAAAAAACTATAAGTTCGCATTAACAAATAACTTGCACGAGATTTAGTCGAGTGATCTTTACTTATGAAGCTTTTAATATTAAACATCTACGATTTGACTTTCCTTCACCACCGATTATTTCCACTAGGGCTCTTCGCAAAGCCGAATGCTTCTCGCTCACAGTCAGAGAATGTAAGAAACAAAAAGTTATCTCCCACTTCAACGATGTGTCCCTGCTTGACTTGATTAATGGTTATGATCTTCACAATCATACGCGTTCATTTTATTTAGAAGCTTTTTAAACTTTGTCTCACTTCCTTTTTCCTTTGTCTGATTGTATACCAAGAGAAAGGGAATCTAGCTCCCACAAGAGAGGGGGAATCTAGCTGCCCCATGTTTGGGCTTTTTCTAATAAATGTCTCCATCTTTGCCATAAACCTAACAACTCTCTCTCTCTCTCTCTCTCTCTCTCTCTCTCTTACACACACACACACACACAATCATACGCATTCATTTTATTTAGAAGCTTTTTAAACTTTGTCTCACTCCCTTTTTCCTTTGTCTGATTGTATACCAAGAGAAAGAGAATCTAGCTCCCACAAGAGAGAGGGAATCTAGCTGCCTCATGTTTGGGCTTTATCTAATAAATGTCTCCATCTGCCATAAACCTAACAGCTCTCTCTCTCTCTCTCTCTCAATGACAGAAGAAACCCAACCAAGATGGGAAGGCAAGCTCATTGCTGAGCTGAAAGGGCCAACACCAGACCAAGCGTGGCCATTCTTGGAGGACTTTTGCAACCTCCACAAGTTGCTTCCCACCCTGGACACGTGCCACCGAGTTGAGGGCATCTTGGGCCAGCCCGGCCTTGTTCGGTACGTCAGCTCCACCACGTTCGGCGACGACTCAGACTCGTCAAAGATCAAGTGGGCCAATGAGCGGCTCATCATGATGAACCCTAGTGACAAGTGCTTCAGCTATGAGGTCTTGGACAACAATATTGGGCTCAAGTCCTATGTTGCCACAATTAAAGTGATGCCGATGAACGATGGGGATGGTAAGATGGTCGGGTGCACGATTGAGTGGTCTTTTGTGTCTGATCCAGTCGAGGGTTGGGGGATCCAAGATATGCGGTCCCTCTTTGACTTTTATCTCCAATCTATGGCCAAGAAGATAGAAACTGCAATCCAAGAAGCTAGTGGTGAGGTGGGAAAGATGTGATGCCTCTTGTTGATTGACTATGCATGCTTTGAATAATCTTAATATGATTGTGTTTGATCTCTTAAAGATGTGTTTTGCATTACATGGAGATCTAATCTCAGCATAATATTTCCTTTTTCTTAATATGATTGTGTTTGATCTCTTATGACGTCCGACGATGAATGTGTAATCTGGAACTACTTGTATGAGCTTCCATTTCCGGCGATATCCATAACTGAGACTTTTACTTTGTTAATGTTTCATACTTTTCGCTTGTCTAAATATAAGTTGTGGTCAGTGGATTGTAGCAGTAGATAGTAGTTAGAGGCGATGATTCACTGCAATCGTTCAATTAAGAATACAAATGAAATTTGGGTAAACCTTGAAATCCAGGATAAGTTCCAAATTCCAAAGTATGTAAGGTAGGTTCTAGGTTCCAAAAATTTGAGAACTGATTTTGAGAAGTGGGTTTTAGGTTTCAGATGGAACTTGAACCAACCTTGAAATCGCTCATCCTCATGGAGAATTACAAAAATACAATCAGTTAAATGATCTTAAGTGATTCCCTACCATAGACTGCAATCAAAGTAACTCACACTTGTTATCTCACAATCTCATAAAAAAAAACTCACTCAGTAAACGCAAAGAGAAAACACTCAACATCCTCTTGTTTGACTTTAATATGTAACAACTAAGTGAACATTTGTTCTCACGAGACTTGCCGACTCAAACTAAAACCTTGATTTTCTTCATTTTGTCTTTAATCCAAAATAAGAGTCCACCAAATTTTGGACTCTGCTAAATTTGCTTGGAGATAAAGTCCCAGTTAGAACATAAATCATCTAACGATAAATGTGTAAATCAATTTTTACACTGGGGATGGACCTAAAACAAATTCTTATACTATTCACAGGAACGGCCTGTTAAAGTGAGATATTCCCATGTGTATTATATCTTAGTTGCATTTTGTTCTATTTTTCCGCAATTCGTAAGCCCGGTCTTGGTATATGTTATTTTTTGCTTAGTTTGGAATTTAACATATTGATAAGCAAGACAAATATTAGTTAGTTAGATTGATAGAAAAGATGGTAAATATGAAGAAGAAAACAAATAAATATTCAAAAGCAAATAAAATGAGACCTAGTAAATCAAAGCTAATAAAAAACCTAATTGGACAAAACTAGTAAATTACACAGACAAAGGTTGGTACATTCATATAATAGTTGATAAATTTGATGTGTTTAGAAGAAAGACAAATAAGGTCAATAAACAATGATAAAAGTTGATAAAATAAAAAATGAAATAAATCTTGGCGAGTAACTCAAATGAGGGCCGGTAATCAAAATTAGTTGGTAATTTCATTGAGAAGGTGAGTAACTCAAGTTAGAATTGATAACCAAAGCCAGTTGGTAATTCATTGAAAAAATTATAAAGAAGAAACCAAAAAAATGTTGATAAGCAAATAGAATTCCCCAAGGTCTGTAAAGATCCAAAGCTTCTCATGATTTCTCTCATTTGGCACACACTGACACCTAGAAAAGTCCCACAACCAGATGTGATTTCTACCTACCCCTGCTCATTCAAAATTTATTAATTATCTTGCCATACCTGCCATGATGCCTTGACTGAAAGCTGTATTTTCCCAACTCACATTTAAGTGCCACGTGGAGATCCTTGCACATTCTCAAGAGTATATATATACACACACCCTATTATCTCTCTCTTCAGCCATGTTTTGGCATAAATAAGGAGTACCAAAGCATGGATCAAACGGAGTCCTAATTAGGTCACAAGTGGGAAGGCAAGGTCTCTACTAGAGTCACAAAGGCCAGTGCAGACCAGATATGGCCACTCTACCTGGACTTCTTCAACCTCCACAAATGGTTTCCGGGCCTATCTAATTGCCACGGCATCCATGGTAGGAACGGCAAGCCTGGTTGCGTGTGATACTGCGCCGGCTCCTCCCTCTCGTCCGAAGGAACAAGCAACACGAGCGAGAATCGCCCCATCAGTTGGTCGAAGGAGCGACTGGTTGGTGTAGATCCACTCCGACAAAGCTTAAGCTACGAGATAATAGACTCTAATATCAAGTTCACTTCGTACGTGTAGATGGTCAGGATTGTCCCTAGCGATGGAGATGGTGACAGTGGGTGCACGATCGAGTGGTCATTCGCGGTCGATCCGGGTGGATGTTGGAAGATTTGGTGAGGAAATTTGAGGTGGGGTTACAAGGCATGGCTAAGAAGATGGAGGATTCCTTTGGGAATTAAATTAGCCGACAATTTTGACTTTTTCTTCACGCGCGTTCTTTTCACATGAAGGCAATTATTCATGTAAGAGGAGTCCGGTGTTTGTGGTCTGGTCGTGCTTGTATTTTCATTGGTTAGTGGACCAAAGCCTTAAAAGTTATAGCAAGTGCTATCGCATTCGAAAATTAGGCAATCAAATTTTCATACGAGGTCCGTCAATTTTAGGGGACAGAAACATCGTACGTGTGTGGCTTATTTCAATCGTTTCTCTGTTATAATCACCGCACGTCGCCAGTGCTAGACAACATAGTCGAGCCTTCATCCACTGCGGCCACCAACACCTGCGTTGGGCCTCTCATCGAGTCTCGCCGCAGTCATCAAAGGAAACTCTTGTTTTAAGATCTTAAACTGGAAAAAGAAGAATCGAACTTCTTCAAAACCCTTATCATTTAATCAAATCAAACCAAAAAGCAAATGTTCGAGAGCACAAAGCCAAAACCTATCCATCACGCGATGGACCCATCGATGATGGAAAGATATCAGGAGATCGAATGGGAGCAACCATCGTGATTCTCTCCGATCCGATCTTCATTCGAAGTTGAAAAGCATGTCCGGACTAATTTCCAAATTGGACTGTCCCAATCATTCATCCGTATTTCGAGTGAATTTGGCTTTTAGTTCCCTGCCGAGTACTCCGAGTTTCTAAAACATCTACGCATAAATTATTGGACCCATTTGGAATCATGTGAAATTTTCTTTTTATTAAAAAAATGTCTTCTTTTGATATTTAGACTTATCCAGAAATTACCCGCTTTACTTAATTAGCAGCTTATTTATCTTCATGGCACAAAGGCTGAGGAATGCGCTCTTTGCAAGTATGATTTCTCTCCCCTTTTGTTTTTTGGCAAAAAAATATTGATATCATTCACTTTAAAGAGTTTAGTGAAGACAAGTCTAAAGTTTCAGAATATAGCAAATCATAATGGGTTAGCGAGAAATCCATGACCCAATTACAAGGTAGGCAATTCGTCCATTGGACCTTAATAATTCAATCCGCAATTTTGTTGGTTTCCCTTCTGCAGTGGGCTAGAGAAAGGCCCGAGAAACTCCTCATAAGCTTGTGGGTCCGGTCTACAATTGCTTTCCACGAGTACTTTGCAATCAGTCTCCACACTAAGCTTCAGTTCAGATTGGGGAGAGAGACAAAGTAGGGTTTCACATAATGCCATTGCTTCCGCTACTTGAAACCCTACTTTATCTCCCCTTTTAAAGACCGACAAACTTGTGCTCCGGATGAAGTCGAATTCGATGATGGCTGTGTTTGGGAATAGCTTTGCAAAGCCCTTTGGACTTCTAAAGGCTTTTGAGCAAATGCTAGTATGATTGGCATTTATTTTTGAGAGCCCATTTTCTAAATGTTAGCATTTCCAAAGCCTTGTAAAGTCGTTTAGCTCAAGGCTCTCTCCCACCTGCTTTGGCTTTCTGGCTTTCCCAGCATGCAATAAGACTTGAATTAATGAATTTTTTGAATTTTCAATCTTACCCTTATTCGCTAATCATAATTCCACTTTTACCCCTTTTTAACATAAAAACCTGATATGTTGCCTTTCTCTTCCGTTGCCTAATGAAATGCAGCTCACTCGCCTCTCACTGTTCACCTTGTGAACGCAGCTCAGTTGGTGACATCGCTTGCTTGGTTGCCTCCGGTCGCCTGGTCGATGGTTGTCGCCAATTGCCTAGGGTCTAGCGATCTCGAAGGCTTTGCCCGGGCTTTGAAATAATCCCTAGAGCTTGAAGTCATAAAACTTGTATTGAAAGTGTAATAGAGTCCTAACATTTGAGTCTTAAAACTTGTCAAATTAGTTATCTACCCATGTAGGGATGGAGCGACACAAGTTTTGAGAATTCAAGAAAAGGTCACGATGAGATGAGCCGTTTCCCGCCTTTGTGTTTAGCTTCTCAATGTTATTAAAGGAAGCCCGGACGGCAAGAAATCCCATACTGCAAAGGGCATGGCATAAGGGGCATGGTGACTTGACGTCATCCCTTACCTTGCTCCGGCTTATTAGTTTTATGATAAATATTAAGTTATTGACATATGTGTGGGGAAAATTAACCAAAAAGTCATAAACATATTGCACTTGTGCCAATTTAGTCATAAAACTTTCAATTGTACCAATTGAGGATAAACCTTTTCACATTTTGCCAATTGATTCCATTCGGTCAATTTTCGCCGGAAATCATTGATGTGGATGCCAGTAGTGCCTTGTAGGACGGGTGCCGCCGACGTAAACAATTATTTATAATTTATAATTTCTTCAAATTTTTTTTATTTTTGGTTTTCTCTTTTTCTTTTTGTCTTTCTTTTTCTTTTTTTTTCCCCACCAAGTTTGGAGAGGGTAATCGTTTGACCCTCACCGGTCACAAGTGAGGGCTGGTTGACCCTTGCCAACCACAAGCGAGGGCCATCAAGGCACCGCAAGTCGTGGGTGAGGTCGGTCGGCCCTTGCCTGTGATCGATGAGGGTTGGCCAACGACTCTCATTGGGCTTGGAAGAAAAAAAAAGATAAAGAAAGAAAAAAAAAGAAAAGAAAGAAGAATAAAAAAATTGAGAAATTATAAAAAATTATAAAAATTTATCTATGTCAGCATCGCTCGTGTCACGTAAGACTCTCGGTGTCCACGTCAGTGATTTCCAGTTAAAATTAGCTAGATGAGCTCAATTAGTAAAACTTGAAAATGTTTAGAACTCAATTCACACAACAGAAAGGTTTAGGATTGAATTGGCACAAATATAATAAGTTTATGACTTTTTTTTGTAATTATCCCATGTATGTGTAAACAACTATAATATCAAAATGAGCGACAATTTCCTAAATAAGTTAGTTACTTTAACCATCTGACTCAATGGGGACAAATCATAATTTTCAAAGCACGAATTTCTATATGACCAAAAAAAAGCACGAATTTCTAAAATGAATTGTATACCAGGAGAAAGGAAATTTAGCTACCACATGTTTGGGCTTTATCTAATAAACGTCTCCATCTTTGCCATAAATCCAACAGTTCTCCCTCTCTCTCTCAATGGCAGAAGAAACCCAACCAAGATGGGAAGGCAAGCTCATTGCTGAGCTGAGAGGGCCAACACCGGACCAAGCGTGGCCATTCCTGGCGGATTTTTGCAACATCCACAAGTTGCTTCCCTCCATAGACACGTGCCACCAAGTCGAGGGCGTCCCAGGCCAGCCTGGCCTCGTCCGGTACTGCGCCTCCACCGTGTCCAGCGACGACTCTGACCCGTCGAAGATCAAGTGGGTCACTGAGCGGCTCCTCATGATGGATCCTAGTGACAAGTGCTTCAGCTATGAGGTTGTGGACAACAATATTGGGATCAAGTCCTATGTTGCCACGATTAGAGTGCTGCCCATGAATGATGAGGATGGTAAGATGGTTGGGTGCATGATTGAGTGGTCCTTTGTGGCTGATCCAGTTGAGCGTTGGGGGCTCCAAGATATGAGGTCTTACTTTGATTTTTGCGTCAAATCTGTGGCCAAGAAGATAGAAAGTGCAATTCAAGAAGCTAGTGGGTGAATTCAGAAAACGTGATCTCTCTTGTTGATTGATTAAGAATGCTTTTATATACTTTAGTATGACTCTGTTTGATCTCTTAAGGTTGTGTTTTGCATTTCCTGGACCTTCAATCTCCGCGTGAATTTCCTTTTTCTTTGCTTCATCTTGTCCTCTGAATTTTGATTTCAGTACTAATGATCAAATTCTTTCAATTAATAATTTAGGCTTATCTCTTGTGAAGTCTCCATATATTGAATTTTTTTTTCTATTTTGCTTTTTATAATTCATTGAATAGGTTATAAGTATAGAGGTAGCTTGTCCCCTCCCCACCAACCCCCACCCGCTCCTCTGAAAATCTTATGCCAACCTGATGATGCGATTTTTGATCCATGTGCTCACTCTAAGAATTTAGTTCCACAGACCTTATCAGCTAAGCTGGCTTTTTGCTCCTTCAGAAGCTATATGTAAATCAAATTAATTGTTCACCATCTCATGTTTCCATAATGACTTTGTTATATGTGTGTAATGACAAAATATTGTGAAAATAATACATAAGTTAATAGATCTTGCAATTCAAACCTAATACAAGAAGAAAAAAGTATCAAAGAAATTAATAAAAAACAATATGGACATCGAAGATTTATGTGGTTCGATCGGAGTGCTAATACCTACTCCTTAAAGAGAGTCGCTGGCAAAGAAATCCACTATAAATCTAGAGAATTATAGAATTACAATTGCTCAATCGCTCTCAAGTGTTTTCCAATCCCATATAACACTCGAAGCAAATTTACAAGTATGATATTACAATCTTTCATAGAGAACTCACTCAAAAACTCTAAGGAAAAACCTTAACACTATTCTTGTTTGCTCATATGAATACTAATAGAAATTTTTTTTGTTTTTATGTGTTCTTATGTGACTTGACGTGGACTCCACTAAATTTGCTTGGAAATAATGTCCTAATTCAGAATACATTCAAAGTACGAGCCACACTTCTACCAGGCTAGTTTCGTATACAAGCTCAAACTCGAGAAATAATTTAATACTAAATAAAGTGCTTAATTGTACTTAGGAAAACATAAATATATAGGTTTTGTTATGGATAATTATTAGATCCGCGGCCAGTGTAACAAAACTTTCATACACTCACAATCGGATTATTGAAATGGATACCTGAAGGGCAAAAGGTGACTAATTTGTTCCGCGTGTCAATCATCAAACGATGAATCTAAGAATCAACTCTTACACTGGCCATAGACCTAACCAAAAACTAGTTAGTAAGGTGTTGGAAAAAAAAAAGAAAAATGAAATTTAATAAAAGATTAGAATATTTGGTAATTTGCCTCCCGTAAAAAAGAGTCGTTGACTTCGTAAAAGTATCGCTAAGTTACTAATAAATACCAGAAAGTTAGGTTGTCTGTGACGTCTTCCACCAATATTATTTTTACACTTACCAACTCCTTCATAATTTTATTAGCACGAAAAGAAAACCTGCTTTTTGAAAATGGAACAGTATAATCGTCCTGTCTCGTTTTCCTCGGATCTTAATTATGATTTCGAAATATAAATTTTACTTTATGGGGCTGGGTTCTCAGGTCAGGCGGCCAATCTTTGGTCATCCCGGGTCCGAGCCCTCGGTTCTCAATGGCTCTGGGTCAGGGGTCAAAGATGCATCAAGGGGCTGAGTTTGCTTGCCGGAAGCTCAACTGTTGATGCTAGGCCGGGCTATTTGTCGAAAACATTTTGTACCCTCATGCACTCACCCAAAAAGAAAAAAAAAAAAGTCTAACACAATAGGAGTCAATTTTCGGTGAAAACAACTTTCTTGGTAAAAATATTATGACCAATTCCTAGCTTGAGCTAGAGAACCGAATCCCCCTACTTCTTACGTCAAATTTATATGAATATTCTTACATTCTTATAATCTTAAACATGTAAAGTCAACAATCACACCAAAGCACCCTAGAGGTTTCTTGTTTGAATAATTAATTACTCGATACCTGTCAAACATTAAAATAGTTGCCCTAGAGAGATTAGTCGATGCCATATGTGCCTTCTCTACCTACTCCTGCTCATTCGAGATTTTAATTAATTACCTTGCTATGCCTGTCATGATGCTATATAGAGCATGTTTAGGCATAAAAAGGGTGTACTAAAGCATGGATCAAACGGAGTTCCGATTAGGTCGCAAGTGGGAAGGCAAGGTCTCTACTACAGTCGCAAAGGCCAGTGCAGACCAGATATGGCCACTCTTCGTGGATTTCTTCAACCTCCACAAATGGTTCCCAGGCCTATCTGATTGCCACGGCATCCATGGCAGCAATGGCGAGCCCGGTTGCGTGCGGTACTGCGCCGGCTTCTCCCTCTCGTCCGAAGGTACAAGCGACGCAAGCGAGAACCACCCCGTCCGCTGGTCCAAGGAGCGATTGATCAGTATAGATCCGATCGGATGAATCTTGAGCTACGAGATGGTGGACTCCAACATCGGGTTCACTTCATACGTGTCGACGGTCAAGGTTGTTCCTAGCGACGGAGACGGCGAAGGTGGGTGCACGATCGAGTGGTCGTTCGCCGTCGATCCGGTGGAAGGGTGGGTGTTGGAGAATTTAGTGAGGAAATATGAGGTGGGGTTACAAGGCATGGCTAAGAAGATGGAGGATTCATTGGGGAATTAAATAAGCCGACAATTTTGACTTGGTTGTTGCGTGTTTTGATTTTATATATCCGGGTTTCTAGAGTGTTCTTGGTTACTGTTTAACTTTTCTCCTCTTTACTTTTTTTTCCTTCACACAGGCCGTCGTAATTAAAAAGGCAATCATTAATGTAAGAGACGTGCGGTGTTCGTTCACTCGGGCTTGTACTTTAGCGAATGAAAATTACCTAATCAGCCTTAATTTATTGTATAATATCAATTTAATCTTAAAATTTTTAATTTTTATCAATTTAATCCTAAACCTTTACATAAAATTACAATTTAGTCCTTCAGATTAATTTTCTCTCGAAATCGCTGAAGTGACAATTCAATCATTGTCAGCCGTCCTACGTGGCACACTGTCAGGTTGTCGATTTTATGTAAAAAATTGATCGGAATGACTACATTAGAATTTTAAATCAAGATTTATGACTAAATTGATAAAAATGAAAAAGTTTAAGACTGAATTATTATATGTAGGATTGATTGGATAATTTCCTCCTCTTACGAAATAGTGCATAAAAAATTCTAACATTCGTAGAAATTGTGCAATTAAGTTCTTTTATCAGTAGGGGTGAGCATTGATCCAGCGTCAACCCTGGACTAGCCCATTCCGGTCGGTTTTGGTCCTGTTCCCAGAGAATTGGGCCAGTCCTTGGTCTTAGGATCCCTGGATCTTGCATTGTGCGAGTTGGTCCTTGGTCTTGGGATTTTACGGTTGGTCCACCCGGGCCAATATTGTATTATATATTTTTATCTACTCTAAACCCTACCCTAGCTCCTCCGCCTCTATTCTTTCTTATGCGATTTTGCCATGTAAAATTGTAAATTAGGAAGTAGAAACCTGCTTAACCTAGCCTTGATTTGATCCCAAAAAAAAATAAAATAGAAACCCTCTTCCTCGTCTCGCTTTGTTCGCTCGCCGCTTGCCTAGGAAACCCTCTTCCTCACCTTGCTTTGTTTGCTCGCTGCTTGACTTTGTTCGCTTGCCTCGGCCTCGTTGGCCCTGCTCGCCTCGCTCCCTCTGTTCGCTCGCCTTGCAGGTGTTAAATCATGTCCTCACTTTGCTATGTTTGTCATTCATTTGAATAGATAAGTGTGTTCGACCAAAAAAAAAAAACAAAGAATAGATAAGTGTGGTTTTTGGTTGTTGCATGTCTGTGTACTAAGTAAAAAATGTGAGGGCTTCGACGATTACTAATTTCACGTTGGTATATTTAGGTGAACTTTATGAATTCAGATAACATGTCTACTGAAGTGAAGGGATATCATGAGATGAGTTTGATTATGATATCGCCGGGCCATGGATTTGTAGAAGACTTAAAAGAGTCAATCAAGGTATCTACTAATGATCCTTGAAGTTGAGTGAATATAAGTGGTGAGATGTTCTATCAATTGCACTGATAGTATTTTCAGTTTAAAACTTTTGTTAAGTATTAATTATGTATGTTGTTTATTTTGTTTTTAGGTGTTTAGAAGTTGAAGCGATCTTTTAAAAATAAGTTCTATAATTCATGGTTTATATTACGTATTTTGAACTTCTTATGATTTAATTATATTTCCCGTATTCGTTTTTTATGGTTTGTTGCTTTTAACAAATGTAGATTTCTGTTGTTATCTTATTTTAGATTTATGTTTGATGCGTGCCGGTATTCATAGTTTGGTTGCTCAATGTCGTATTGTTGATGGATATGAAATTTGAAAGAGATGTTTGTCCTTTCAAGGAATATAAAAAATGAAACAAAAGAATAATTGATTATTTCCGAGTTGACTTTGGAAGCGCACTGGACTCATATCGGTCCCAGGCTTAACAGGCTCGGTCCCCGTTCTTAGAAATTGGGGACCAACACCGGACAAGTTAGGTCGGATTGGTCCCAAGGTTAGGTGCTAGACCGGCTCAATCCGGACCATACTCACCCCTATTTATCTGCGCCGTGTGATGACATATTCCAATCGTCTCTCTCTACTGCATGTTACATAACTTATTTTGCTTCATTTTATCATTAATCATTTTTCTTTGCCTTTTCTTTTCCCCTCTTCCTTCTCCTTCTTGCCTGGTCAGCTTGAACAGAGTCACCATCACCGCCGGTCGCCGCCGCCAGCCACCATAGACGGGCCACCATCAACTACAACCACCACCACCTGTGTCGGCCCTCTCATTGGGTCTCCTCGTAGTCATCGAAGAACACTCTTATTTTATGATATTAATCTCGAGAAGGAAGAACGGAACTTCTTCAAAATCCAACTCCTATCAATCGAAACAAAAGAAAACATTTGGGAGGACAAAGCTAAAACCTATCTCGATTATGTGGTGAGGCAATCGATGATGGAAAGATGTCGTGAAGCTCCGATCGTATTCCACCTCTTCTCCTCCTAGTTTACAATACCATTTTTGCATCAAGCAACTACCCAGAAACCCAGTTACAGATGTTTCAATCTGCAAGTTTCGATTTATGTGTCAAAATGAAGTTAATCCTGACAATAAACTGAAGACTTCGCCGATGCACGAACTCGTGGGAAATTGAAATTATTGACCTTGTTTTGCGCCCCCATCTTTGTTTGTGTTTCTCCACTGACTTTACATTGGATTCAGGACATAGCGCCATTTTTATAAAATTTTCCCTTCGTTTGATAGTGCTTCTAATTGATGGAGTCAGAGATAATTACATCCTTCGAGATATGTTTAATTTTATAATACTAAGTAATAATATAGTACCCTGTTAAGTCAATGGAGATTGACATCATGCTGCACATAAGCTTCCACTAATGAGTAAAAAGAATATTTTAGTCAGAAAAGCAAATTCTACCGCGGCCTCCCATGTCCCCAGAGTTTCCAAATATTGCAAAATTGTAAAATCACGAAAAGATTTGCTCATTGAATTGTTGTTTTCTGTGTAAGATAAAATAGCTTCTAGCAATAGGTTACTTTAGAAAAAAGATAAGAAGACTCGGCTAATAATAGTTGTGATGCAAATTAAAGATCTTCTGTGGGTAAAATAGATTTCACGATAAATCTTAAAGCTATTGACATGTAAACAGCTAGGATCTAAAAATGATCGACAATTTCCTAAATCTACTTACTCACTTTAACCATCTTACTCATTGTAACTTTTTAAAAAAAATTCTAAATATGTTGTAAACCAGGGGAAAGGGATCTACACAACCACAAGTTTGGGCCTTATCTAATAGATGTCTCCATCTTTGCCATAAACCCAACAATTCTCTCTCTCTCTCTCTCTCTCTCTCTCAATGGCAGAAGAAACCCAACCAAGATGGGAAGGCAAGGCCATAGCTGAGCTGAAAGGGCCAACACCAGAACAAGTGTGGCCATTCTTGGCGGATTTTTGCAACCTCCACAAGTTGCTTCCCACCATCGACACGTGCGACCGAGTCGAGGGCGTCCAGGGCCAGCCTGGCCTCGTCAGGTACTGCGCCTCCACCGCGTCCGGCGACGACTCGGACCCATCGAAGATCAAGTGGGCCAACGAGAGGCTCCTCATGATGGACTCTAGCGAGAAGTGCTTCAGCTATGAGGTCTTGGACAACAATGTTGGGTTCAAGAGCTATGTTGCCACAGTTCGAGTGATGCCTGTGAATGGTGGGGACGGTAAGATGGGTGGGTGCATGATTGAGTGGTCTTTTGTGTCTGATCCAATTGAGGGTTGGGAGCACCAAGATTTGATCTCTTACATTGATTTTTGCCTCCAATCTATGGCCAAGAAGATAGAAAGTGCAATTCAAGAATCTAGTGGGTGAAGGGAGAATGATGTGATCTCTCTTGTTGATAGATTATGCATGCTTTAGATGATTTCAAAATGATCGTGTTTGATCTCTTATTTTCGGGCTTTGCATTTCTTGGAGATCTAATTTCAGCATGATTTACTTCTTGGAGATCTGATCTCAGCATGAATGACCTTTTTCTTTACTTTATCTTCCTTTCTGACTGTTAGTTTGAGAATTAATTATCTTCTCTTTTTTCAATTAATTATGTAGGCTTATTACTTGTCAAGTTTCTATACGTTAATTTTTTTGTCTTTTTATAATACATTGATTAGGTTAATACGTATAGAGGTGGCGGCTAGTCGTTCCTTTTCGAAAAATCTTCTGCCAACCTGATGAAGCGATTTTGATCTCATGTGCTCACAGCAAGCATGAATTCCCGTGTTCTGTTGTTATATTTCGTACTAAAAATTTAAATTGTCTGGAAAATAGATCCATAACATATATATAAAAGCTCTCAATAAACTGAAATAACCTCTTAATTAGTGGAAGCAATGCATGGAAAAAAAACAAGAAGAAAATTAATTCGACATACAAATTTCAATTTGCTCGTGTGACATGCTCGCTGGCTTGTCACCTCGGCGTGAACTCTTTCTCTCAAGAGTAAAGACCCCGTGAAGATGATTTGTTCTCTTTTCCAATAACGCTACATGTACTACACGTTGCTCAAGAACATGATATTTCGCATGGATGTCGTCGGATGAAAAGTTAGATTTTCGCAGTCTATATATTGGACCCTCCGAACGAAATAATTGAGTGGCCAAGCTACTTTTACACAAGTAGCATTTCCATTCTCTAAGGCCCCGTTTATTTCGTGAACAATATTACGTACATGAAAAATGCTTTCTAGGAAGTCGTTTTCCAGGAAAAATGGCAATATTATCTGGTGTTTAGATGAGGAAAGCAAGGGGTGTGCGAGAATAAGAGTTGAAAGCGAGTTGTCTGATCATTGCATTTAGTCCTCGTTCAAACATCACAACGCCCTCCCTCCGATCCACGCCCATGAGCATCATCACCTCAATTCTTTTTTCGGGCTCCGTAACCGGTTCTTGATCAATTGCCCTGTCATGGAGACGGCCAGGACAGATATCTCGACAGTCCGTTTTAGTATTCCTCGGGTCAGCTTCGCGATCCTTTTCACTTGTTTGCGTTGCTTTCCATTTCCGCCGTTGGGGTCGACCCACGTGAAAAATGCTTAAACGGGCACGACAATTTCGCAGAGATTGAAGTTACGAGGAGATCGCCGGAAAATTCAAGGATAAAAAGAAAGAAAAGGAGAAATCCTCCAAATTTTTCGCTAAATCTAAAGCAGTCTCACCTGGAAGAATGACTCGGCATTGAGTACCGCCACGAGGAGATTAATTCAACAACTGAATTAAAGAGACAGTAGAGGCAGCAGGAGGGGGCAATGGAAGGGACTTGGGCTGCCTCCTTTTATAAATCCATGCCTGAAGCAAAAGTCATTGAAAAATTCTCAATTTGTCTTTTCTGCTTTGTTATTGCGTATTATTCACATTGCATGATTGTCCGATAAAGGTGTTAATGGATCGAGTCGGGTCGGGCTTTCATAATACCCTACTCGATCCTAAACCTATAGGGTCGTGCTTGACCTGCCCAGACCCGCCCTAAAATCCTGTTCACTGTCCGAGGCAGACGAGACAACCAATAGAATTATCCATCATCTTCCGCCTTCTTGGAATATTTTAGCCAAGGTCTTCGGGGGTCTTTATTCGGAGTCATTCTTTTACCCCAAAAAAATAAGTAGCTCTCGTGTTGTGAATGTCAAGTCAAACGTACAATTCGTAAAAAATACTTGAAGACTTTTTTCTGTTCACTCTTGTTCTTAGTTAACGCATCACATCGCATGTACCCACTTTCTAGATGATAGGATAATTGTACAACCAAGAGAATTCTTTTTGGGTGTGTTTGTTTGCTATAGCATCAACAATTAAAAACGATTCTTTATATCGATTACAAAAATAAATCGGCAAAAATTATTTATATACGATACGTTTCAACATAAATCATTGTAGAGAGTGAAAAGATTTTTCGTTAGGGGTAACAATTCTAAGTGATAAAGACAATTATTTTTAGGAAAATATCTTATATTGTTCCGTGATGTATGGTCAAGTTAGTATGAACACGGATCAATCCATCCACAACTACCTTACCTTCTCCATAGAATTTGACCAAACATGATCACAAACCGTACAAAACAAATGTGGAAAGGTACGATGCATTTTCTAACCTAAAATTTTATTTCAAAAGATTGAGTTATCGCACTAGTTGGTGTTGCTATGATTTCATGCTTTAGTTCGATTAATCAATCCCACTTAACACGGAATTTCCCCTTGTAAAGTCCTACCCTAATATGTTAAGATTTTTCTTACACGCACTTCCATTTTCTAAATTGCTACACATAAGTCTCATATGTGAACCTACATGTAAGTACTCGAACGAGAGCAGGGATGTGAGTCAAATGCTATTAAATGTTATTAGGAAAATTGTGTAGTCTTGATTAGAGTTCCTACATACTTCTATGTTCTGTTTATATCAAAGTGATTGGATGATGAGGGCCTTTGAGAGCTTTTCAATACCTAGACCTGCTAAACGGGCTTAGACAATACCTTGGGCTTTCCTTATCATCCGGGTCTGAATTAGAGAGGAGTTATATGTTTTAGATTTTTCAGGCTACCTCAGGGTGTTCACTCTAATAGTGCATAAACTCTAATTGAATCAATATATTACGGTCTATTTTTTTGTGTATTTGAACACTAGACATGAGATTTATTTAATTAAAAAATTCATTGCAACACCCAAATATCCCAAATCCTTTCTAAACTAAATGAAATCCAAACAAATTTCATTCAAGTGCAAGAGAACACAACGCAATTCACAAACCTTGCACGGACCTTGCACAAACATTGCACGTACCTTGCACGATTTTTGCACAATCCTTGCACGGACCTTGCACGATCTTTGCACAATTCTTGCACGGATATATCTTTTCTCAAATGTCGTTCATCGGTTGCAAGTTCGCAGCCACATCAGACCTTGTACTTGCACTATTGTCCTTTTAGACATTCCTTGGCTCTCCACGGAAGGAGTTCTCGAGGACGGTGATCATGGAGTCGTACATAGCCGACCCGGTCGACCCAGCTAGGTATTGACAATACCTTTTATTTTTTCTTCCGAATAAACTTTTATTTATCTGTAACTATTTCTATTCTTTCTTTGCTCCTAACCCTAAAACTACTATGTGTATGCATTATTTTACTATAATTAGATGGACCGAATAGTAAAGATGAGTATTGATGATGTTCTCTGGAGGACTTCTAATGATGTTAATTGTCTTCCAAACTCACATTTCTATGCATTCTTATTTTCCAAATGAACTCAAATAAATAGAAACTACAAAAAACTGAACGATTAAGATATGACAAGGGTGCTTGAGAATTTCTTAATCGGATGTTTATTTTCCTCAAAATCTAGACTTTATTTTTTATTCTCACACTTGATTGAACCTCAGTTTTTATCTAAGCTTATGGTTAGAAAAGTGCATCATTAACGAAATTTAATTGATTAAGTGTGCATTGTTATTGATTAATACAAGCGAATTCGAAATGTTGACATGATCATTGCAATTTCACCTTTTAAGATAGGTTAAAAAGTTACTAATCTCAACATTGATGAAATAAAATATCATTATATAACACCCAAGTATATTACATGATTGTTGTTTTCAGTGATGTTTGAGTATCTCATGGTGCTCCGTATTTATGTTATTTTAAATTCTTCATGTAATTTGCCGAGTGATTTATTCTTCTTTTGAAATGAATTCTCATATAAAAGGTGGGAATGAGTAAAATTGAATTGGTCCGGTGCATCCGCAATGTATACATTTTAGTACCAAATTAATTGATGGTGATGTACAAACAAAAAAGGGGAAAATTACCAAAATAGTCATAAACCTATTGCAATTGTGCCAATTCAGTTATAAACCTTTTTTTTTTGTCAATTCAGTCCTAAACCTTCTGTATTTGTGCCAATTCAATCAATCCGGTCAATTTTGACCGGCCGGCCTGACGTGGACGCCGGTCGATGCTGACGTGGCAATTTTTAAACATATATATATTTTTTTCAAATTTTTTTTTCCTTTTCTTCTTCCCCTGGTCAGTCCACCAGCGACTGGCGACCGGCCAGGGGCTAGGTGTCCCTGGCCATTGGTGAGGCTTGTCCTTGCCGGAGGGCGAGCCTCGACTTTGCCGTCAAGGGCGAGGTCGGCCATAGCGAGGCCGCTCGGCCTCCCCCAAATCAGGGCGAGGTCGAGCGGCCTCGCCATGGCTGCTTGACCCTGCCGTCGCCACAGATCTGGGCGAAGGCTAAGTCGAGTAGCCATGGCGAGGCCGCTTGACCTTGCCTAGATCTGGGGGAGGCCGAGCGGCCTCGCCATGGCCGCTGCTCGGCCGACCTCACCCACGACGGCGAGGTCGAGCCTCACTAGTGGCCAGCGACACTGGTTGCCGGCCCTAGCTCTTAGCCAGTTGCCGGTCGCCTGTCGTTGGACCGGCCAGGGGAAGAAGAAAAAGAAAAAGAAATTAAAAAAATAAAAAAAATTAGAAAATATAAAAAAAATTTACCACGTCAGCGTCAGCCGGAGGGCCAGCGCCGGCCGGCCAAAATTGGCCAGATGGACTGAATTGGCACAATTACAAAAGGTTTAGGACTGAATTGACAAAAAAAAAAGGTTTAGTACTGAATTGGCACAATTATAGTTTTAGGACTGTTTTGGTAATTTTCCCAATAAAAAAGACTACCTAATCTCTTCCAGCATCGGAGTACTCTGCGTTGGTCTCCACTGCATCAATCCTCTACTCTGCGTCGTTCTCCGCTGCGTTGACAATTGTTCCAGCATCGGAGTACTCTGCGTGGGTCTCCACTGTGTCGGTCCTCTATTCTGCGTCGTTCTCCGCTGCGTCGACAATTGTTCCAGCATCGGAGTGCTCTGCGTGGGTCTCCGCTGTGTCGGTCCTTGTTCCGGCATCGGAGTACTCTGCGTGGGTCTCCGCTGTGTCAGTCCTCTACTCTGCTTCGGTCTCCGCTGCATCGAC